GTAGTAGCAGCAGTAATAGTAGTAGTAGAAACTGGTGCCGCCCCTGTGCTCCGTGTTCATGTCAATGTGAGCAAGTGGGTTGGGAACTCACGATGCACGGCCCACGCAGCAGGCAGGCCTTGACCAGAGGCTGCCCGTAGATGTGCTGGCAGAAGGAAGCGGCTAAGATTGGAAGCTTCTCCTTCTCCTTGTACATCCTCGATCTCTCTTCGAAACTTGCACGAGAATTCTGGAATGAAGTTCCGTGAAATTACGCCCTAAGGCCTTGGCTTCCAAAGTCTGCATGATGCCACCGGGAGTCTCTCGAATGAAGGACAGCTGCAGCGCTGTAAATTCTTCCTCCCCAGTTTGCATCGCACCTCCAACCTGCTGTAGACCCTCGGCACGACGGGTGTTCACCAAGGCCTTGACCTTGCCGCACACAGCTCTTGATCGAATGTCTCTAGCATCGCGCCTAGCAGTCGTCAGGCCGAACCCTGAGCTTGTCAAGCCTTCAATCCTTCAGTCCCAGAGTTGCAAGCACCGCACAAACCAACCACCGATGCTCGAAATTTGGAGCGCAGGCTGTCGGATGCAATGGGGCCCTACTAAGCCTGAAGCCCGCAAAGTGTTCAATGCAAGAAGCCATCACATGGACAACCCCGACAAACTTACACGGCTCTCGCCGTTGCCCCAGAAACGGTGACTTAGCAAGACTCGGCTCCAGCACCGAGACCTCGAGGTAGAGGACATAAAGCGACTTTGACGGTGTCTGGCGGCTGTCACCAGCTGACATTGTCCTCGACTTCTCTTTGCTGCGCGGGTTGCTCACGGGGCTAGGAGACCAAACGACAGTCCATGATGTGTTGAATCATCTACGGTGCTGTCAAGAGTCTCCTGCGATTTGTATCTTGCAACTCCCTTTTACAAGACAGTAATCAGAAATTGCTGCCTTGTTTATGCACCCAACTATAGGACGACTCTGCACCAAATCTGGATTCTTGCAGTTTTGTGATTCTTTCTGCTTCTCTGCCGCAATATTGCCGGTAGCAGGTTCCAAGAACACTCGAGCCTGCACTCTTCGACTCTGCACTCGCTGATGTTACATCGACCCAATGCCTTTTAAAGTATCCTTGTAGCAGCTCTGAAGCCATAGAAACTCGAGAGCGACATCAGCAAGCCCCTTAAACTCGCAGAGCATGCTCGTCGCAATCCGGGGTTGAGAAACCTGAAGAAGCCTCCATCGTTTGTCCCAAAGCTGGGTCCCGGAAGTGGGCATGCAGCGGATGACGCCATAGAGCGTCACGGCGTCGCCGGGCACGCAAGAGCCCACAAGGGCCCTCTTGAGATCCTGAATGCATGAGGAATCATGCTGATACCAATGGCATAACTAGCAGTGGTTCTCATGCATATACTCATACTGGCACAGCACGCTGATAGATAGTAACTGACAGTAGTAATTGAGCGCCCCCAACTTGCAGTAGCAGGAAGCAAGATCCACACAGTAGGCCGTTCATGGCCGCTCCGAATTAAGCTACATGATGCTCAATGTTGCGACTGCTGTTTTTCGATGGTACGAGTAACGTCAGGTGGCAGATCCCAGCGTGCATGGCCTGGCACAGCCTCGTGAGCCTGACCATACTGCTGGGTGCTCCATAGTGCTCCCACGCCACGAAAAGGCGGGGAACGTTTCCAGGCTCATCTTTCTAGGCCCGTATATCCGAAATCTACTGTTCAGCTACGTCTATCAGTTCACATAACCCAATTTATGCGCCAGCAAATGTGGCAGCCAACTCATTACACTTGATTAAGCACCAAGGGTCGCAGTCCAATGTGCGGGGCATGCGACGCTGCGGTGCGCCAGAGGCAACCAGCTCGGAGAAGTCCTGGGGTGGGCGAATAGGTGACGTAAAGCTCAAGCGGTTTGCTTCTGAGCATGTAGTGTTCACACGTTCGTGCTGCGGCCGGCTGAAACACCCTGCGCACATGTGTCCTCCTGCAGGCGAATCCTCTGCCAGTCGATGGCTTGGCATTTGTCCTTGTTGGCTGTGAATCGCGCGAATCGGCACTTCTTTGGGCAGCCTGGGCTGTGCTCCAACAGCACGTGGCAGCCCAAACAACCCACCGCAGGCTTATTCTGCTTCGATACATGTGGGGCCCGTTTTAGAAGGCTGAACTGATAAGCTGTATTCCCAAAAACCCAAAAAACATGTACACTTCCCGCATGCCAAACCCGAACTCCTCGAACTTGGGGCCCAATCTTACCCAAGCACCTCTACCTGAAGCCCCGGCTCCCAGCCCAGGAGCCAGGTGGATACTCAAAGCGACCCTCGGCAGCAGTGGTCTGAACCTCACTGTGCCAAGGTTCACGGAAACGGTAATGAAATAACTTGAAAGTTTGCAAGTAGCTTTAGCTATCGAGGATCTAGAGTCGACCCTAGTATGCTGAACGCTACACTTATTACTGCAAAAACGAAATGATAGTTGCTTCATGTCTTGAAAAACTTCTCTTTTTGTTCAAGCACAGGCATGCAGCCCAACAAATAACAGAAGTTATCCCCGTGCGGCAAGGGACCTCGGTGCCACACCTGGAGCAGGTGAAGCAAACTTCGGTGATGAGCGGTGCAATGTTGGCCGCCCGCACCTTCTGCTTGTTCGAATCAAGCTCCAGGAAAATCAAATGCCGACTCAAAAAAGGCAAGCATCGGGTACATGTCATCGTCACCAACATCACTACCCCCTGCATTGCCTTCAGGACCATCACCAGCCAGCTGTGGAAACGCTTTGTGTGTCTCGGCGGAGGCGCTGCGGTGCACGCGAAAAACGCGAAAAACACAAAACAACGCGAAAAACGCCAAATAGTAGTAGTAGTAGTAGTAGTAGTAGTAGTAGTGATAGTAGTAGTAGTAGTCGTAGTA